GTGTGTTTGTGTTGGTTTGCGAGGCCACCTCGTCCTGAAACTAAATCTTGAAAAAAGTCAAACTACTACTGTGTAAAAAGGGAAACAGTTATCCTTTTTTTTTTACATGACGCCAAAGTGAAGGACAGTTGGATCACATCTGCTACAGAGAACAGGTGTCACTCCAGCTCCCCGTGGAGCACTGATGGCCCAGCAGGGAAGCAACCACTAGGGCCTCTTATTCCTTCCTTCTACTCATGTACTCTTACTTTCTCTCTCTGTTGGTCTCTTGTTATCTCCTCAAACCCCTGCTCTCCCCTTCTAAAGGCCCTTCTCCTTCTCACTGGCGGAGCCTTCTTCCGTTGGGTCTTTGTGACCTGCGAAGTGAGGAATGTTCTTCAGAGGCTCTTCAAGGTCTCTGATGGGAGGGGCCTGGAGCCTCAGGCCTGGGAGGAGCCTCGTGACTGACTGACAAGTACAGGTGAAGGTACAGGTCAACCTTGTGTCAGTGAGGACACACACACACTCACAGGCTCCAGCCAGGCTATGCACCCATGGGAAAGAGTTTAGAGGTCAAGTAAAGCGGAGTTCTGCTACAGAAGAAAGTAGAATCTCCCTGACTCCCACATTTGTCCCGTGACTATATTTAAATGGAAATGTGCCCTGCAGTTTTCTCTTTTTTGCGTTTCCTGCTCACTGAGACTTGTAGCGGAGTCTTTTCTCAAATTAACTTGAGTTTACTCAGATAGGTCAGAAATAGAGCATACATGCTTTCAATTCTGATATCATAAATATTAATTGAAATTGATCTAATTGCGCCGACAGTTTCACCACCTGTAGTTTCTAAAAAAGCAAGGGTGTAAAGTACACTACATAAACTGTGTTAGTTTAGTTTTTTCCTTGTTCGGAGGAAACACATTCCTTAGTTTCACCTCTGACCTTGGAAAGAAGGAAGGGATCCTGCAGAAATAAATGAATAAATAAACAACATGGAGAAAGTCCAGGCTTCTCTCCAGCGATTGCGCTTTCTCTTTCTCTCTGTGTCTCTCTCTCTCTTTGTCTCTCACTCTCTTCTGTGCATTGATAATCTCCTTTAATTTTTAGACAAAGATTTTGAGGTGCATCTTGTTCCACTCAAGTAGCATTACATTTTTCGAAGGACCATTCCTGATATATCTAGGGGGATATTTTTTATTTCCACATTGTTGTACTGTTTGCCAATGTGTTTCTCGCACACAGTAATGGCTCTCTGCCAAGGGAACTGAACCGCTGACATTTTGGCTTGTTTTACTTCCTTTGTCACCTTCCTGAAATGGCCCTGCACACCCTCACTTCCTGCTGGCCGGGATGTGGCGCTACGGTCGGCACCTATGCACCGCTGTTTTTCCTGGCATCAAAAGGTATCAGCGGCTTTTAAACCCGTGAAAAAAACACAGGAGACGTTAAAACGCTAACTGACACAAAAAGATACAAACGTCCTGGGTGAGAGGGTTGATTTGGGTAAAATGAGGGAAAACATCTGTGTTAGGTGCAACTGAACTTCTTATAAATACAACCATTTAACCGTTTCAAAGGAATGGCGTAATGGAAAAACCTGAATGAACAGTTTTGTCTCTGTGAAGAAATCAGAGTCATAAAACCATTTGGTTCTGGTAGAATAGTTTCAGCCTGTTAATCGTTTTTGCCCTAGACCTTATCAACATGATCTGAAGACTGGTTTTAGCTATAACGTATGTGAATGCTGCCCTTGGAGTCCGCTTTTGGATGAACACACAAAGGCACACCCCACACAAAGCTCAGAAAGGGCCTGATTAGTCTCAGTATTTTAATTGTATTGTAGTTTTTAGCAATTATGATTAATACACAACACACCTGCCATATCTAACTGAGACATTTGAATAGCAGGAAACCATCACACACTACCTACAAGTAGTTTGTTAAAACTGAACTTTGAACATGGCAAATAATTTTCCAGTTTGAGCACAATTCTTTTACATGATAGCATGTCTCTTCCTATAGTGTGTTTTGCTTTGGTTAAAGGTCTTGAACTGCTGTCACCCTTCATGAAAACAGTAGTTATTCTTATATGTATGCTCTGACACCGACGTTCCATTTCCCAGGAGATCTTTGTGGAAGTTTGGAGTCCTCTGGTGTAAAATAATGCCTCCCAGATGTCCCAGGCACATATTGTATGCATGTACCGCACATGCACCTTGTGATTTTCGACTACAAAGAGTCTAGTGGTAGTATATAACCTGTGGATAGAACCAGGTGTATCTGTCACACCCTTGAAAAATATGGAACGAACCAGGAACACATGCGCCAAACCTTTGAGCACTGTTATGTAAAATTAGATAGCTATGTACGCATGTGTGGCATCCATATTGTTGAAATGTCTACCACTAGATGTGCTCTACTGCTTAAATCCCTAACAAATTGTTGAAGGTGATGCCGGGGGAACGCCGGCTTTAGGAGAGGAGAGGCAAGCAGAGGAAGCACATTGGCCAGACGGGGTGTAATCAACTGAGGACCCTCCACCGTCAACAAACTGACCACTCAGGTTGGCGAGGACAGCCTCAGAGACAGTGGTAGGGGCTTCACTCTATTATACAAAACACGCATAGCGCAGTGTGAATGCCTTCCTCCTGACCCTGTCATCACTTCCGTCTAACAAACCTCCTGGAGGCCCTACACCACTCAACAAGAGGATTTCATTCAGATCAATCTTCCTCTGTACTTTTCCCCTCGCAAACGCCACCGCAACACACATCCACCCCCACATCCACCCTCTTCAATCCCATCTAACCTTCCCCACTCCACAGCCCGGAGGGTCTGTCAGAGCAGAGCAATTTCCATACTGAGTACGAAGAGCGGTATATATCTCAGCTAACATACAGAGAAATTTACATACGGCACCATTTTAGTCTCTGACAATGTGCAGATCCTCGGACACACACAGGTTTAAACAATCTGGGAGAGTGTGAACCAAGTTACAGAAATTACATCAAAGTCCCCACATTAATATTTTCAGCTGGAGTTTTTATGTAGAGCTTGAATGTGTTTGCATTGCATTTGTGTACAAGAGCTGTTTGTCTCTGATGTTTCATTATTAACCTCAAACAAAAATGAACACTGGCCTAACTCGTAACTATGGGCACGGTATCAACTGAGACAGATACTGAATGGTCATGAGAAATACATATATAAGTATAATGTACACTACATGGAGAGGCATAGTGGTTCCCAAATATGAGGACGTGTGACCTATTGAAAGCAGGTAGTGTCTTGACTTGTGATCCCAAATCACAGCTGGACATAAAGACACGAGTGGCCAGCATTTTACTGCCAGAGAAAAATCTAAAGAAATAGAAATTGCTTTCATACATTTTGTGTAACACAAATGTGTTTTTTGTTGTACAGGCTGATTGTTCCTGGCCCTCGGCAACCACTGCACCAAGCAAGGCAAAAAGTCAGAAAAGAGAGATGGTGGCTCTACCTTTGTGTAATATTTTGTCCCCTTCGCACGCTCTTCCTGCTTTCTCTCTTTCAGTCCTGCTCTTTGGCCACATCAGCCTCAGTCTTACTGGCCGCATTAAGGGGGATTTCGCTGATGATGCAGTACCAATGTGTGGCACTATACGGCGGTGTTGTAACTCCAGGGGCCGCCCACAGTGGAACGGACAGACATACAGTTGCTGTTCATATTTGTTATTGTTAGATGACGTAAGTGTTTACGGGTTAATTACTTGATTTGCTGTCTTGTCTTTGTTTGAGATACCGGCACAATGGGAGGGGAAGGCGGGTTGTAAATGTTGTGTGTGCATGCACGCGTGTTATGGGTATAGGATACGCGTTGTTGGCTATTGAGCATCACTTGTTTTGTCTTGTTTCACTTTCTTTAATGACTGGTTGCTGCAAATCGTAACACACAATGCAGTATGGATTGACATAATATATACACTACCCAGATGCATTTATGGGAGAAATGTCAATGTCTGGCCACAGATTCTGTTAGATCAGATACTACACTATTGACATTGTTGTTTTGAAGCCATTGCTAGCTATTTTTGGGTTCCTCATCATGCAACAAAATACACATCTTGAGCCCTAGTTGTCATGAAAACTCAATTCTTGACAAGGTTTCTCTGAATGTGCTGCATTGATTCATTGTGCTGACATGCCAGCAGACGAGCCCAGATGTCATGCAAGTTGTTTTCAAAAGTGTCTCCCTCCTTTACAGACTGCAGCTTATTGAGCACTTAAAGCTGTTGTTGTCACATTGCACATTGTCTCCATCGGCACCATGACGTATCTCCTGCAGCTTCTGGGTGGTTTTGCTCATTTGTTTCTTTGTCTCAAAGACACTCAGTTTATTACGGCCGGCTCGGATATGGAACTCTGCTTATATTGCAACCCTAATATTCAGCACCAGTACAACTTTTTGTACCCTTTCTCTGTTTTTTGGAATGTTTTATCCCCATACCACAGTTTTTGCCAGGAAACGCACTATGCCTGCCTATCCTCTGTGGTCTGAGTGCAATTATTTATTAATACCATGATGATCACACACCACATGCACTATTTCATAAAGGGATGATTGTCTTAGATGTCCAAACAAAAATGAATAATTGCCTTTCGTAATATGCATCCAAAAGAATGGCGCCAGTGAGTAATGGCCGGCACTGCCGCATGACTCACATTATATACAGTGAACAGCCGTTTAAACAATTACACGATGCGTCCACCCTCGTTTTTGTGCATTTGTGGGAGAAATTGAAGTTATTAACTATTTACACTATTGAATGAATTGATATGAAGAGGATCCAAAGTTTTGCTCCATGATGAGCACCTGCATGCTGGGAGTCTGCCTATTAAATAATACACGCCCCCTGCGTGCAAACACCAGGGACATCCAGCGCATTAACGCGTGGCCAGCAGCAGGTAGAGACCGTGTGTGTGTGTGTGTGTGTGTGTGTGTGTTCATAATCTCTGTAGAATGATGACTTGCGGCTGAAAGGGGGGTGGAGGTTGTCCCCGAGGGTGTCGGAGCGGGTCCCTTGGATCGGGGATGGCGCTGTGAACGGTGTAAGCGAGGACGCAGGCAAAGTTTTCAGAGCGCAGTCGGGAAAGTTCGCCGGAGAAGCGACGCGCGGTCCTGAGCTCCTCTGTCACAGGCTGTTATACCCACGGATCCCCCCGTGCAGGCACGACGACTGCACGCTTCACTTAGCAAGGACTTTGTGTGCTGTTTCGTGGGTGTTTTGAGGGGAATATCGCCATGTCCTTGAAAGGTAACAGTTAACTGGAACTACGCTCGCTGCGCGCTATCGTTTCAATGGACTACCGCGCATCTTCCCATCCAGCGAGTTACTCCGATTGAATGGTTTCCCGACCTGCGGATAAGTACTGACCATGAGCATAACTTAGCTGACGTTGTCACATCAAGCCCGTGTGTTGGGAAGGGTTGAAAGCGATAAACTCCAGCCGGTGACAGCGAACTGTCACCCTTATCTCAGGAACACCGATCATGGCCGCAGCGATGACCGGCGAGGAAAGCCCTCTGCCCGGCAAAAATTCCAGGATAGATCGGAATGTAATAGGGGGACTGGTCCACTGTTTCATATGTGGAAGCGGAGTAACGCCAGGGAAGGAACTGAGGTTACAAGTGGCGTACCAAAAAGAGAGGGTTTCCTTTTTCCCCTTTCTACAAAACCAGGAGCCAGCCCCGGGTGCGTGCGAACTGAGCCCGGAGGGACACGCGCTGGTGTGCGCCGTGTGCCACTGCTTTCTCACGGAGCAGTGGAACTCGTTCGAGCGGAGCAGAACGCCCATTGAGAAGCGCATGTACTGGCTGAAACGACCGTACCAGTGCGACTCGCGGCGGGTCCCGCAGGAGTGGAACCTCTCTTACGATCTGGAGAGGAGAATCAGCGTCGGAAGCCAGAACTACGACGGAGGCGCGGAGTCCGATTTCTCGTCTTTTTCCGAAAACGAGAACTTATCAGACCAAGAGATGGATTTGGTCGACAGAGCCGGCATGAGCAAAGACAAGTGTCCGAAAGCATCTGGCAAATCGCCAAGAGACAGTGGCAGGAAGAACAATGTGATCAGTGTTAAAAACAGCCCGGATTCGCAGCGGGCGATGCGCTACCCGGCGGCTGTCAACGGGGCGCAGGGGTCTCCAAAAGCGGAGAGTGTTCTGCTGGTGAGGCGCGGTGCCAAAATGATGCATAATGCCTGTCAGTCATCGGAAGCCCTGTCAAAGTCCCAGGAAAGATTCCCCCTGCGGTGCTACGGCGGTCCTTTCTCTGACACACCTGTCCAAGACAACGGCGTCATTATGCGCAACAGGCGATGGCTGGAGGAGGGGAGCGCCAGACACGCGGAGCCTCGTCAGATTCAGCGCGTGGCCGACAGCAGCTGTGCTTCGTCCAGACATCCATCGCTGCCGTACCGGGGAAGGGGGGAGGATAACCCCAACACGGATCATCATCCGTCATCCGTTGGCAACGCCGCTGTCACCGCTAAATGTCACACGGCTGCTCCCAGGGAAAACAACTCTGACAGCTCTGATGAAGATGAGATTAACATTACATCCGATGATGACACCGGCATGTACGAGAGCAAAACAGGCCCAGCAACGCAGTTTCGACCTCTCGGAGACCTAACAGAAAGAAAAGCGCGCTCAACTGTGGACACCTGTTCAGAGGAGTGTGCTTGCTACATCTGTGGCGCCGGTCTCAGACATGACGGCCGTTTTAAAGTCAGTGTTCAGAAACAGGAGAAGGCACAGGGCGAGCCCTTCTTTCCGTTCCTGTGGCTTCACTCCCCTCCTCGGGGGTCAATACCTATCAGTCCAGCCGGTACAACCTTGGTGTGTGGCAGCTGCCACACCTCCCTCATGCAGCAGTGGCAGGGCTTCCAGCTGGCAGATGTGCCTGTCCTCCAGCGCTTGTATATGGTTCCGCTCAACCAGCCCACAAGCTCTGTCCATCCCTCTCAGCTTACCCCAACAGAGTCCACGGAGTGTTTGGCTGAACCCAGGGCTTCCCATGAGGCCTGTTTTCTCTGCGGTCAGGACTGTGGAGGAGATATGAGAGTTGCATATGCGCAGGCCGGTGTCGGTAAATCCCGCGGCGCGATGTATTTCCCTTTCATCAACATGTTACCGTGCCCTCCTAATGCCCAAGGCGTGAGGAATGGTTGTGTGCACTGCTGCCCGCAGTGTCATCTTATCCTGGAGCAGATCTGGGGTGCATATCGACTCAGCCTTAGTGAAGACCTCATCACCTCGGTCAGCTCCTTCCTGGTCAGGTACCACGCTGCCATGGCCATTGAGGGGTCTGGAACGGCCCATTCCCGGACGGTAGTGCCATCTCGCCCCAGCGGCTCCATGTCTGTGTGTTACCTGTGTGGAGCTGAGCTATGTGCCGGTGGAGAGTTCCAGCTGCATGTCAACCCGCCTGGGCGTTGTGGGGAGAGGGAGCCTTTCTTTCCCTTCCTCACTGTCCACCCTCCTGCTCCCCGGGCCAAGCCCGTAGACTCCACAGGCCTGGTGTCATCCTGTAATCTCTGCTACCATGACCTATACAGCCAGTGGGCCCAACATGAGGGCCCCGGTCCCTCCACCCCATCTAGGGCTAGTTTATCCAGCGCCAACCCTCAGCCACCCAGCTCCCCTTGGGCCCGCCAGTACAGCTGTGAGGCTTTTGTGTGTTTCTTCTGCAGGAAAGAGCAGCGCAGGCAAGGTAGGCTGTGCGCTGTGACGGTGGCCCGGCTTCCTGTGTTCCTGTATGCACCTCGCAGCACACGCACGCTCCTGGTGGATGATGGGAGGAGATTGGTGATTGGCTCGTGTTTGGAATGTAAAGCCATGGTGCAGGTTGGACAGAGCATGCAGCAGGACAAGGAAAGGCTCGGACAAGGAGCCTCAGACGAGGAGAAGAAAGATCCCGCATCAGCCTCACCGGAGTCTAGACACAGGGTAAGAAAACTGCCTGATAGGACACACAGACAAGAATCATAGTTTTTCCCCATTTCAGAAAATTTGACGAAATGCATTCATAAGATTGGATAAAATGACACACCTGACCTGACACGACCTCTGGGTCAGATGGCAAGGGAGAATGGTATACATTCAGACGATTTTTTTTACGCTCTTTGTTTTAGTTCAACAAATCAATAACCTTGAAACTGCTTAAAATGTGTATTTTGGTATTTATAGAAGAATAGCAGTCCAACAGTAATGTGTGCGTGCATGTATGACTGGGGAATGAAATTCTTGGGGCCCCAGATGGGATGAACAATAATGAGACAAACATTTACTTCTATATACACCAGAGAAAAACTATGGGGATCTGACAGCCATGTGTGTGCGTATGTGTGTGTGTGTTTGTGTGAGTATGTTTATTTGAGTAAGCATGACTGAGTATGTCTCAGCTGGTGCTGAAAAGTTTGTTTTGTATTCAAGTAATTCAAGTAAGTTAGTTTAAAGCAAGTCAAAAGTTAACTTTTTTTGCAAAAAGAAGTGCCCACATTGCCAATTAGACCTACTTTACTAAATGTATAGACAGTGGGGGACTAATGAGAGAATGGGGTGCAGGTGAGAAGGGCATGAGGACCAGGTGAAGGGAATGCGAGATTGTCTGGTGTGGATCTAGAATGACAGGAGAGTTAATTAAACAAGCAAGCAGGATAAAAACTAATAAGATTGTTATTGATCAATTTAGTTTAGTAGTTTAAATAATATAACTGATATCACTGCTGTTGCCCTGAGACACTGATCTCCCCTTAAGAGTGATGCGACCAATCTCCATACTCCGGCATGCAAAAGAATTTGCAGATCTGCCTGTATTATTTCTTTTAATCTGATGTGTGTTTAAACCCATTTACACTATATTACATTTGCGGGATGTGTTTTAATTATGTAATTGGCCTGTAAAAATACTGCGTGTTATCATTTTGTCAAGTGATTCTCCCGGGTCTCGATGCTCGTAGGTGGTCCATACAGGCCGGCTCAGGATGAAGTACATCAGTTTCTCTATAGAGAGATCATAATTGCCTTTTCCTGCCATTTTTTATCTCCAATGTTTGGTTTCTTTACACTCCTCTCCCTCAAAAACAACAGCTATAAATCCCTCGCCCACTGTTAAGAAGTTGATAGCAGAATCCTGCTTTATCCAATCGCAGAGAATAGATGTGTGAGGGTGTGAGGTTATATCAGGGACCAGTTCAGGGCGAATGAGGATCATGACGTGTTGATGAAGAGCTGAGCAGCATTTAGACAGCCAGTTGGCTTTTTGAACAGCTCTCTCATGCAAACAGACACTAACTGTCCAGCCATGCAGGACACATGAAGAACATCTGTGAATGCCATTCACACTCAGCAACCTCAGTATGTTGCACACTCACACCAGCTGTCTGGAGCTCTACACCTTATTTGCTTTCCGTCCTTTAAAGAAGTGTTTGACTTGTGGTTACGCTTACAGTCTCCAAACTAATGTCTTTATTATATGTTTTAGCACCAGCATGTGCACCATTCCCAGATTAGCTCATTGAAGTCCTATGTGAGGGGATACTTGTGATATAGAGGTTATATTTTGGGCCTGGCCTTTCTGGCAGCCATGAGCGGGTGGGATGAGAGTGTTGTCGGCAGACCGGGTTTCGGGTGATCGTTTTGGGTTTGCAGGTGGCCCAGACAATTTTGGCCTGAGTGAGACAGTGACCTCATGGTTGAATGAGTACCAGTCTGTGGGGAGGGAGGGGTGCGAAAGATCGACGGGGGGGGGACAGGTGCTCTGCCCGCTGGTGTCATGCTATATGCTTGAGAGGGTCCGTCATCGCGGAGGTTTGGGCTGTCAGGAGGGAGTGCTCATCTGGTTCCCCCTAGCACTGTATCTGCCCGGTGGAGGGGGCTGGGTAAAGATACACACACACTTGCATACAGTTTTTTTCCATTTTCTTCGTGTGGCGCAGCAGTTTCTGTCGAGCCCACAAAACAAAACAAAGCTGCAGAACGAGGACATTTCCAGCACGGAATCCATGTTTAATGGTCAGAATTCAGAGACCTAATCAAGACATAGTCAAATTAAATGTTTGATGAAGGCTGGAATACAATTTTAAAAATGGGTACTGCTCGCTGTAAACATGTTTGCGCGTATGAATACCTATCTTTTGAAGTGTGAACATATTTTTGACATGACCTTTTACAGGTGTGTAAGTATAGACCACCAGCTGGCGCCTGGCAAGCGGCTGCTGGTCAGCAGATCTTTCAAAAGCACAAAACAACAATTGACGACATTACATTTTTTTATTTTTTATTGCCATGGCAAATTCTTTATTAATGAATGAGTATTAATAAATACAAAACACTTTGCTTTAAACTACAGTTTGAACTATTAACAGTTTACAGCATTTTCAGAAGCCAATAGCGTAATCATCTTTTACTTTACACAAATGTCTCAAGTCTCAAGATAAATGAGGGACGAAAACATGGTGAAGAGATAATAAAATGGTCCGATTCTTAGGCCCTAAGTAAACTGATACCTGCGATGCATTACTGTGTTGTTGTAAGGATTAAAAATGATTGCAGGCCTTTGATTTTGGCGTATAATTGAAGTGTTTAGCTAAATCCACATTCTCCCTGTGGTCAACCATGTATAGTCTGCTTGTACAAAAACACAAGGGACTAAAACGGCAAAAACATCAATCATTAGTCAAGCCTCGCAAAGATAAATATGAAAAACAAACACATTAAGTCTCTCTTACTTATACACTGTGTGTGTGTGTGTCTGTCTGTGTGTGTGTGTGTGTGTTTTTGTTACGTGTTAAAATGCAGCTCCTGGGTGCATGTGTGCGTCTGCAAACTGTGTGTTGATGTGTCCTTGGTGTGAAAGATCGCCTGTGTTGCCCCCGTATCCTTTAGAGGAGGTATTTGCTGACCCGGAAAAAAAAAAAAAAAAATCATCTTGACAGCGTCGCCAAGGAATATTTATAGTGTAGTGAGAGAAGGAGCGAGGGCAAAATTACACATCAAATCTGGATGTGAAGTTGAAAAGGGAAAGAAAGATTATCCTGAGTGAATTATTGGAAGAAGAAGAAGAAGAAGAGTGCGGGAGGCTGAGAGAAGGTGAGGAGGTTAATGGGATTTAAATTACAGCCAGAGGGAAACTGAAGAAAAAGGAGTCAAATTCTCATCAATTCATCATAGGAGGAAATATTACAGCATGCTGGCCACGGAGCAGAAGGGGGATTCCATTAAAACTATGTTAATTTGACACACGCAAGGTGTGTGGTCTTAAAATTTGTCGTTACGCGCGCACGTGTGTTTAGTCCAAACCGTTCGCATTGCACGTTCCTGCTGCAGCGCCTCTCTCTCCTGCCGTCAGAGCCGCCTGACAGACAACCCTGCGTTTCACAGGGAATCCTCTGGTATTTGAGGGGCTTAATTTCCAAGCTGCTGGAGGTGGGTTTGGATTCGGCGCTTGGAAGCTTTAATCGCCCGCTCTCCGCCAGCATCCCTCGCCGCGGCATTCCTGCCCATATACAGTATGAATGAAAAGATCAAATCCTGCGTGGAGCAGATGAGATGAGTTAATTAATCCTCATCTGTCTCCCCTTTTTTTGTCACAACCGTGCAAAGACCTTCATACAATCCTCCCACAGTACTGGTTGGAGAGACACCACAACACCCCCAGCCCCGTAGCTCCCCCCTGTATCTGGCCAGCCGGGTGGTGTAACCGTCTTTAGAGCTCCACGTTACAGCCCCCCAACATATTGGAAAATAAAGTCCTTTTGATCTTTTGAAACAATGTCCCCCTTTCCTTGCTGGCACACAACCGATGGGTGGGACGTACCCGCGCATTCATAGTTTTATTACGATGCCGAGATGCGGGGCTCCAGGAAGCCGTTGATTCCTTTCGATTAAAGTTGTTCGTACACAGGAAAAAGTTATCTCTCCAGCTGCTTATGTGTTACGCTGCCTACTGTGATAAGTCTCAGTTTATCGTCTCCTGGTTGCTGTGCAGGATACAGACCAGGAAGTGGTCTGACACAGACTGAACAACACCGGCATGCAGATGAGAATTTAAAGGTTGGAGGTCTCCACGCAGAGGTCATCATCCCTGCAAAGATTTTGTTAAGTGCTAATCTGAACGGCATTAAGTGTACACATGGGTTGGATATCTACATCAATATGGGGTTAAATCGTAGTGAATAATAGTTGGGGTGTTGCGATTCGTCCGGGCGCAGACTTCCACGCTACTTTGTAGCTGACAGATGAAGGCGTCCTGACCCTTTTAACCCTGTAAACAGAGAGGGGATAACGATGGTTGCTCAGCACTCAGGACGGGGTCAACAAATGTCATATTGGAGGGAAGGGTCATGCGTGGGATTCTAACACACCTGTTTAGCTTTTGGAGTAGAAAAAGTCATTTCAGTATTATACTATTATTATAGTATTATACTATTATTCAGTAGTATTAAGTGTGAAATAATGAAATGCTGTCAATTTGAAAGCAGCTCAGACGCCAAATGGAATCAACAGTGACGCTCACAACCTCTGTTGATGACGTCTGATTTACATTTTGTTCCTCAGAGGTGTAAACTCACACACACATTACTTTCACTAATTGGACTTCTTCTTAGAACGTGGCATCTCTCTCACTTCTCTGTCAGTTTTGTTGTACCTGTTTTTCGCAGGACGACTCGCGCCTTTACGATCCCCATTAGTGGAGGGAGGTTGGCGACCTCGGCAACCTCCCAGCATACCTCCACCCCGCGCTTGAACCTGAGACAAGATCTAATAAGCCCAAATAACCGAAAACACCTGTGAGGGTGTGCAGGGTTTCTGTAGCTAAAGCAGCAGCCTGAGCTCATAGTTTTGCATTTTTCTCGCCGTGTCCTGTGGCTCATAGGGATACACTTTTACTTTGGCATCACATTCAAAGGGGAAATGATCCATAATGTCATCTGGAAATCATTTGC